CTTGAGAGAGAGAATGGTCTACAAGTCAAAAAATTTCTTGTCTCATAGTGAGTGTTTCTTGTCTTGTCTCTCCTTCTCTTGCACAAGACATCAAGACAAACAAGAAGCAAGAAGCTTACTTGTAAAAATCACTAATTAAGAACGGTCATACATTTTTTGTATGCTATGTAATTGTTGAGACTAACAATGCCATGATTACAAACGTATATCGACGCACGTTATCTAATTTCGTAGTAATTTGTTTATAATTACCTAATTGCGATTACTGAAATTCCTGCTATTGAAAAGTGTGATTATTTTCACAATAGATCATTTTGACAACAAACAAACACGCAGGACTGGTCGGGCTTGAGTTGTTTCTTAATTTTAATTATCTACCTAAATATTTATTATTTGTCATAGTGGCTGACTCTCTATCCCTAGTTTTTCGATGAGGAATCCTTTCTGCAACCTGATGTTTATGCGTCCTGAAAAATATCTGCCCGTACCATTTACTTTGTGTAATTCTTGACAAATCAACTTGAAATGAGTAGAAATTGAAACCGAAAATTTTTTACCACTATTGGTTGAGATGTTTAACCACGTAAAGGGAGCAATTGATTAAAATTTAAAAAAAGAAAAAGAAGGTTTTAGTAGGCGAGGGTGGACTTGAAGACCATTTGGTATAAGTAATAACAATGTGTAGAAATCTAGGCCTACTCCTATGACGTTGGCGCGGAGTTGTGGGTATGATTATAAAATTATAATGGATGCTCCAGTATTTTCCCGTTCGACTGAAACTTACTCCAAATTTCGAAACTTGAATGGCACATCTTGTACATTTTTATGTTTCTGATGGATCCTCAGAACCAGTTTTTTTCGATATGTTATTCTTACGAGGTTTGTCGACAAGCTAATGAAATTTTATTTTTTAAGATAGCCATGATAATTAAAATCGTTCTTCTACATCACTATACAAAGAACGGTTTTGTCGTTATCCAATAACAATTTAACAGGAAATTTTCCAGTTAATTAATGACTACAATAATTTGATAATGTAATTACCTACCGTTGAATAGAATAGTTTTAATTTTTTGATATGTTAACGTTAATTATTAATTATATTTTGTCAAATGATATAGAAATAGTCTAAAAGAACCATCGGATGTAAAAATAAGACATTTCTAATCATTTTTATTCATCATAATATCACCCACCAACATTTCATATCCATAGGCATTGTGTTATTGAGTCGATTAGTTAGGTATCGCCAATCCTGCCAGCCTATAGGTACACACTTCTCACAATAAATTCCAAAATCCGCACCAAAGACCAAGCGAGGACGATTCCATATTCGTCGACATGATACACATTTTTGTCTCTGCTCATCTTCGAAGTTATAACTTACGACTCTACGTTTATATTTTTTTCAATAAAATTGAAATTTCATAAAATATGAGCGACGCCTGATGCCTTGAACAAATTTGACAAATTTTGCGTTATCTAAGTAAGTACCTACATCACCAAAGCGGTTTCCTTAAATATTCTGGACTCTGGTTAAGGTGTTTAGTGAGGTTTTTGATCCACAACAAAATAAATAGAAACAAGGTGCTTGATAGTTACCAATATGTGGCCAGAGAAGAGCTGGAAGTACAGATTCAATATACAGGGTGGCAATTTGAAAACTTACCACCCCCCATGTCTTAGTAAATAAACGAGATATTTTAAAAAATCAAAATCCGTTTCGGTAATTCGGAGACATAGTTGGCGACGCCAACCCCCTGCACCCCAGCCACCTCAACTTCTAAATCATAAATAGTGACCCCCCATGTGTGATACGTCGTTGGAAAGCTCTGAAAAAATGCTTTCCAACCATACCAAATAGCATTACATTTAGGTTATAGTGCAAATCAAAAAATAAACTAATGGTTGGAAAGCATTTTTTCAGAGCTTTCCCACGACGTATCACACATAGGAGGTCACTATTTCCGATTTAAAAGTTGGGGTGGCTGGGGCGCAGGGGGTTGGCGTCGCCAACTATGTCATTGTGATTCCCCCTCCGAATTAACGAAACGGATTTTGATTTTTTTAAATATCTCGTTTATTTACTAAAACATGGGGGGTGGTAAGTTTTTAAATTATCACCCTGTATATCTGGCTCCCGTTAGCATTGGTGATAATAAAAAAGTAATATAGGGTGAATATGGTATATGTATATGCCCCAGGGTCGCTGATAAGTCTGGAAACGGTCCATCATCGGGGAAAATATTAAAGATATTGAAATATGATTTATACAGTAGTTTTGGGGTTCTTCTACTAAGCAGTAATAATTTACAGGGTTGCTCATAAAGGCGCGGCACTCCAAAATTGTATTTTTTAAATAGAACACCCTGTATGTTATTCAATATTTCAATACTTCTGTCAATTTTAAGCAAAATTTGTACCTAAATTCAGTCGTTTCCGGGTTATCGAGTTTTGAAAATAAACGCTATTATTTAAAAATTCATTAGTAATTAATTGAACAAAAAACAAGAATTAATGATTCCAAACAATCATAACAAACTTCACACACGGTTCTTTTCATAACTACAGAATGTTTTCAAAAGAAATTCGGGATGCCATATTGTTCTTTATTCAATACATTTTAAAGCAATACCTTTTATTTTCAAAACTAGATAATTCCGAAACGATTTCTTACAAATTATGCTCAACATTGAGAGAATAATTTGAAAAATCAAATAATATACGGGGTGTTCCATTTAAAAAAATGCAATATTGGTGTGCCGCGCCTTTATAACCAACCCTGTATAATTAAAATTACTACTACCTAGTAGACATTAAAGAACCTCAAATCTGTTGTATAAACTTTTTTTAATACCTTGTATATTTTCCCGGATAATCGACCATTTACAAACTTATGAGCGACCTTATATGCCTCGGACCAGTATCTCTTAAAATAGATACTTACCCAAATAAATGAATATATAAAAATTCTTACACGCCTCATAGTATTCCTTCTCCTTTTAACTACAAGGATGTCCTTATTTATAGCTCTATTCTTGTGGGCAGAAGGAGACCTACGATCCGCATTGCAAAAAGTTAAGACTCGGTAAATGGGAGGCAATGAAGCTCGTCGTGTCTACTGTCTATACCATACCGTCAAGAACTTTAAGAAGGCATCTGAGTACCGGTGCTTCTACCAAAGTTCATGTAGGAAGGCTTTCTGTTTTGAGCGTCGAAAATGAAAATAGATTGGTGGAGCATCTGTCAGAGGAATTGCATTCAGCTTTGCAAAAAAAACTGAAACTTGATTCTAAGTTTTCAGCTAAGGAAGAAACCAAGACCGCTGGAATGCATTGGTTTTATTCCTTCATGGAGAGACACCCTGATTTGTCAGTAAGAAAAAGTGAAGGGCTTTCACTAGCTGGCTCGGGCAACGCGCATGAATAGAGAAGAAGTGGACCAATTGCTCTTGACTTCAGAGTGTTTATGATTTAAAAGGTAAACCACAGTGCACATGCAATATGGACGAAAATTGTATTCAAATAAATAACAAACCTGATAGAGTTACAGCCCAGAAAGGCAGCAGAAGTGTTCACGTGCTAACTTTGAGAGAAAAAGGAGAGAATGTGTTCATAATTGCTTGTGCGAACGTCGGGGGACATGGACTTATTTTAAAAGGAGCCATCAAACAATTCAAACAATTTTGCAAGGAATGTCAACGGGTTCAGATTTATGTACCTATGAATATAAATCCTCATTCATAAATTCGGAATTTTTTTAAAAATGGATAAAAGAAGTCTTTATCCCCAGGAAACCCAATGAGCTCAATTTTTTAAACGGATTCTTACATGTTTCAAAGAGAGAACAAAACTATTAACTGAAATGTCGTAGGAAAACTGATTGGTGCTGCCTGGAACAAAGCCGCTACCATTTCAAATGCCACTTCTGGATTTTTGGCATGTTGAATATATACTCTCAATAGATCTGTAAATCCAGATTATTTTTTCTGACCACATGGCGTATCCATCAAGTAAGTACATCTTATACTGGAGTAGTAAAAACGCTTTCTACAATCGCTTTAACTGAAATTTTCTTCCTCTCCTAAATCTTTAAAATTTCTTTTTAAATAATGTTTATAAATAATAATAATAATATTTTCTCTATCATAAAAAAATTAATAAATTGCCAACCAGTTGCATGGGAATACGCTTTCCTTTGTCTGCGATGGAAAGGTAACATTTACAAATACCAGGAAAACTTTTAGAACTGAGGGCACCTAACTGCTGGTACTGAATGGGAAATGATTCTATACCAAAAAAATTCTTTTTCTGATAATTCAAATGATATTCCTTTCTAAGGGCTCATCTGACATTCTTCATACTAGTGTGCTAATTCTATAGGTTTTTATATCTTCAACTCCCTAACGTACCTACTTTTTATAGCCGTTGTTTGTAATGTGATGGCATTTCAAAACACGTCCATACCGTTCGTTGTTTTCTCTCCTTTTTAGCATGCCTTTAAACGCTGTTTAGGTACGGAATTTGCGTGTAATTGCAATGCAAGAAATTACTGCAGCTAAAGAGAATCGTTAGACCTTTCATAATTGCGATACCACAACGCACGTGATCTGATGGTCGGTTTGACTTTGAAGGGGGGACATACCAGGAATCTTGGTATTTCTCATGCAAAACGATACGTACTGTAAATGATATCCAACATCGATTAACACTATTTTAACAAACTTCCTGGAGGCTAGCCGAATAAAGATTTCTGGGAACTTATTTTATACCCTAGAGGTATATAATTTTTTAATATAGACATAAACTTACCTTTTGAATTTAATTACGTAATAGAAAGAAAATTACAATTTAATTACTTAATTCAAGCTCACTTTTAAATAAAACCAGTCTGCACGTAGAATTAATTACATAGAAAAGCTCACTTTACGAGATACGTCGCTACGCTTATTAGATATCATTTCAAAAGGTAAAGACAGATTCAAAAATTGCTCGACTTACCAGCACTTGATTCGCCTGTGCTTGAATCGAAGGTTTTGGATGTCATTTGGAAGAGAGCGTCTAAAGGAGTAGCTCCGAGTTGCTTGTTGTTCTGATGGTGTTTCTGTCTTTGGATCGCGGTACTCGTCACAATATCCGGTGAGCAACAGTCGCTGGTAACACTAGAAGACCGATCACTTCCCGTTTCTGACGTATAACTAACATTAAATGCAAACTCAGGTCGCAACAGTGCTAACTGTTGGGCCTTTAAATGTCTGTGAAATCGTTCCAAACTTTGCTGTGCTTCGATTTCCGGATCCAAGTCCCACGGGCGCACTATTTTACTATTTAGCAAAGACTTGGCGGGTTTGTGATTAAGAATGTCCTCGATTGAAAAACTCTTAACGCCTTCCGACCTGTCGTGCACTTCGAGCGTTGGCGATATTCGTTGTTCGGCGGATAGTCGCACCATTTTCAGCTTCTTTAGGGGTTTAAAGTAGTCTTCAACTTCTGACTCTTTGCCGCAGCGACAGTTGTCGGATCGGCACGTTGCCGTCGTATTCAGATAACTTGGGCTGCGACTTTCCGCGTTGACGTTAATCGCCGGACTTGGGCAGCCGACGCTTATTTCGTCTTCTGAGATGTACTTGGAGTCGTCTTCGACTTGAGAATGTTCAGGAAGCGATGGACTAGGTGAACGTGATGAAATGGGACTGCTGTATTTTGAAATTAGGTACGGTGACATTTCTGGTGGCGATGTGCTTGGTGATGGTATATCAGTGTCTTGCATCTTCAAAGATTTCGCACTATAGTTTACTTTGCACTGCAGTCAGTCATGTTTGGAGAAACACATCACCATATCGTTTTACTATACGGTCATGAGGGATCACATATTGTCACTATAGTACACTATTCGGTATAGGTAATTGATAATCGGTATTAAAATCACGATTCCACACAGTAAAGCACGTGTTACAGTTCGTATCTCTAAACGGTTGCGGTGGTGAGTGAAGGTTCTGTTCATGTTGGGAAAAAGGTGCATGTTGCTGGAACTCCGCCTTGGGGGGCGGTTAAAAGCGTTATTACCCGATTTATCTTGCCGCCGAAGACCAGTTTTTCCGTTATTCAAACTACGCAGCCCTGTTATTGGTTCGCGTCCAAAATAGGAGTGTTGATTTTATAGATAAAACCCGCCAATCACGTATATATACTTGAGCTTTTCACTTTGTCTCATTTATTTTGCAGGTTATAAACGAGCTTTTGTTTTACTATAAGATTTAGAACGTGTTTAATGCAAATTATTTTACTTTATGAGATTCTTCACTCTTTTCGTTTATTGCGTGCAAATTTTGTATATTTTATTGTTCGTGTAATCAATAGCATCTCATGCGTAATTTATCCCTAATACGCTTGCTGAAAATTGCGATTATAACATAAGGGTGGTCTGTACTGCCCATAGCCATAAGTATTGGCCGAATGTGTCTATTTAAAACGATGAACTAGTTAGGTATACTTAATTATTGCAGATCTAGTTGTCTAGTTTTTAATAACAAAATTACAATTACCACAAACGCTTTGTTTACGTAGGTAGGTATACATGCCAGAGCAATAGGTAGGTACATATATAGTACCTACATAATTTAAAAAATTATAACTTTTTAGTATTTAGGTATACTGATATACTTATAATTATCATAAGTCTAGTTGCTCGATATTTATAGGTATAAGATACTTTCATTATATACTTATTATATACTATTTTAAAATTCAGCCATGGGTTGTATCGAGGGTTGTATTCTCACCAGAGGTGTCATTGCTTTAAGGAACATTTAGGTAAGTTATGATTATATTATATTATATACTACTTACCTGCAGTTATATGCACGAATAATAGTTATTTGTAGAATTAGAGAAGAAAGTGGAGGTTCGAGTTCAAAGTTTGACACATGAGCGTAGCGAGTGTGTCAATTGAACGTGAGTTGGAAAACACTTTCTTCTCAAGTTTTACACATAATTTTGTCCGATACTACAATCAAAATTGAAAAATTATCGTACCTATGCAAAAATGAAGTTTCACACATAGCAAATCTATAGATACGGGTTTGTTTCAATTTTAAATGTGATTATTAATATTACGCAGCAATTGTTTTTTACTTTTCTCACTAGAGAGGAAAATCACATTTTCTTCACCCCTTTTAGTGACGAAAGGAGTTGTTTCTAAAGTAGTTTCAGAAAGTATTTTCTTTATTTATAGTAAGTGAACCGAGTTACTCTTTTTAAATTAAGTAGGTAGGAGGTAGGTACTGCACTTGCAACCAAAAAGGTTATTGCATAAGTAGGTACCTGTTTGATACAATCAATTGTCGTGTTGTATATGGAACATGTCAAATGCGTTAAAGCAAACTGTTCTGGTCTGGGTTACTTCGAATAAACCCATTGTTTTCGTTGATTTATCGTTTAATATACCTACCTACATGAATTTCAAAAAATCGTAGGTGCAGATACAAATACAATTAAAAAACGTTCTAACAAAAATTTTAGAAATTTATCTGTACTTTTCTATATACAAATATCATACCTAGACCTATACCTATAAATACCTAGCGACCTACATTTTGTTTCCTACAAAATGAGATGTATTAAGGAATAATAGCTTAGGTATTGCATCAAACATATTTTATGTGAAGTCAATACGTAATAATGGATTGATACAAACTTCATAAGCTCTTAAATGTTCTGAATAACCCATCGTTTTCGCATTTTTTTTTAAATAAACAAATTTTGCTCTCGTTTCCTTATACCGAAGTGCTGATAGGCTGATACCATGCAGACCGCATGTAAAAAAAATTGGGTGATAGGATCAAGATAAGCACTTTTCGGAATAAACTGATGGTCCAACGTGTTTCGTTTGGGAGCCACCCCCAAAGCAGTGATGAAATTTGGATTTCGTATTTAATTTTTTCTCAGTAACTATATCGGGTGATCAAAAAGAACTGCAGACAATTTAAATTGGGCGCTTTAAGTTTTTAATGTTTTTTACTTAAGGAATTAGCAAACATGTTTAGAAGATAGTTTACTTATGCATTAGTGATTAAATTGATCCGCCACTGCTTTTACATAAATGACATTTAGGTATGTTATCAACTTTATAAATGTTTAGTTTTACGGGAAATTCAAACTGTCCGCACTCCGCAGTACTTTTCGATCACCCGGTATAAGAGTGGCACGTCTTTGAATAGGTTTTCGGGTATGCCCTATCCGATTTTGTAAATTTTTATTCAAAATTACTACCACGAAGGGGCACCCACCTACATGGGGGTGCGAAAAAAAATCCGATTTCGACGAAATTTGGTACCTACCTATCTGGGGGCTTTTAAACAAGAAAATGACGAATCTGGAATTAGTTTTTGAAAATTCGAAAAAAAGTTTCCCTGCAATTCTTGACCGGACAACGAAAATGGAGAGAATTCCGCGAAATTTGTTGTGTACATACTTGATGAGTTAAGGAACAAAATTGTCGAACAGTTTTTAAAATAACTTTTCAAACAAAAGTTATACTCATTAGAAGATTGGGCCTTCGGGTTACAAAGTGTCCCCCGCCTACTAGTAATTGATCTAATTTCGCATGTAGTTAATTTAAAATGTTGCAAATAACAAAAAATAACGATTTAAGTCGATATTATGAATAAATGATCACAAAAAATTCGATATGTCGATCATGCATGATATTCAAGTCTGAAAATTCGATTCCAAAAATTCCGTGGACGCTGCGGGTGGTGGAAAATGCTTTTTAACTCGAGTTCCATTACAACAACAAGGAGCATTATTGCAAGTATCGTAACTCGAGACGAACACTATCGCAAGATGGAACAGAAACAACGTGAATGGAAGGTAGGGAGGGTAATGTTCAACAGATCCTAGTGAACTTCGGAGGCTGATGCAAGAACAGAAGAATGTTCTTCAAATCAAGGCGAGTTGGCAAATGCTCCAACAAAAGTTTACGGCGCTCAAGAAATTAGATGGTGAGATCTGATATGCTTATTCAAGATCCATCCAACAGTTAAGACGTCATCATTAGAGAGTGTGAGGAATGTGGCATATTTAGTAGATCATATGTCGAGAGCAGTTTAATAATTGAACGCATCTTAGAGACACCGAATTATGGAGTACAGCAAAGGTTCAAACGAAAGTACCTCATATCGAGTTTGCGAAATTTAATGGCACCACCCTTTTGGTCTCAGTTCAAGAAAGTACACGAAGATTTACTTACCTATCCCTTGATCCATCCGACAAAATAGAGTATATCAAGCTGGCGCTAGCACCTAAGTCGTATAGCCGTGCTCGAGTCCTTGTAGAGAGCTTTCCTCCTATTGCCGATAATTACAGTAAGATCATCGATGATGCGCTCTCGTTGCGGAAGAGAAGATCTGCAGATCGAGGTCTACATAAGAGGGTTAGTGAAAATCGTCATTAAGAATGCTGATGGTACTCTGGGAACAGGGTCGAGATTGCTTTATTGTACGATCAGTTGGAAACCCATCTACATGCTTTGTATACGCTCGGAATTACGTTGGATAAGTCGGATAAATCATACGTTTTTCTCGATTATGAACTTCTTCTTCGCAATTATCGGAATTTTCGGAGCTATGAAACCTGACGCACTGGCGTGAAGTTTGTCGCAAAAAACACAGGTTGGTCCAGCTTGATTTACCAAATCCATATGGCCGTTGCGATTTTCTCCACATCTTCATGTCATATTTCTCTCTTGAATTTTCGTAAACCAAACCGATCAGAAGCAAGAACAATTCGTTGAGCGTTCTCGACTTCGTTTCGAAATAATTCCCGAGCAAGATTAACTGTGCAGTCTGTGCTAAAAAGCATGTTACGATTATGTAGCCCGACATTTCTATCAACAAAATGTCAGTGGATAAGCTGGAGCAAACCAACGAGAGCTACTCCTCGAAATTAAAATGAGTTTTAACAAGATAACATGCTCGATTTGTTATCCGTGACCTCAAAAGCTATCACTGAATAGAGATACTATATACGTTTTTGTATATCGTAGTATTACATTTTACGCAGTTAAATGAAAAAATTGTATTTTACGGTACCATAGTAATGATAGAGAGGAGAATTTCCTAGAAAAGTACAACAAATACGGTGTCTCTCTCCTCTATCGATTTAAATCGTTACAACATAGATCCCTGTTTTCACCTTTAGTTTTATTATTTTTATTATACCATGACCTTTAGTTAATGAAAGCATCTGAGAACGTAACTTTGAACTAGCAATCTCACTCGTTCCTAGGTTTTCAATTTAGTGACATCTGGAGACTGATTTGTTCCTCAAGCAAACACATCCAAACAAATGGAAGGGTATGGAGGGTCTCTCCGGGGACCTGGACAGAAAGCATAACGCCTTACTCAACTTGCAACGTCCACTTTTAAATTTGGTCACAACATCTACCGCAAATTATGGTAGTCGGGTCACAGACCCGTAGTGGACGTACGGGTCTAGGACATTTCGAGATTGGAGAAAAGGATCGGCCATGCAAGAATCAAGAGATCAAGATCAATGCAATTACCAAACTCATAACAATTGTCGTCAAGATTTGTAGCACATTGAATTCGATCACTTATATGTATATGTTTAAAAACTGACATAGCAATTCCAAAATACTCCATATAAGATCAGGTATAAAATTGAATGGGAATGCATCATCAGCTGTTTCTTTGGAAATCTTAGAGCTGCGTTTGAAATGATAACAAATAAGAAGGAAAGATGAGTCTTGTTCTTGTCTCAGTTTTAGGTACTTATTTGATACGTATGCTTTTAGGAGAATACCTACCTTGTTTCAATCGAATGAAAAATTGCTGCGAAAAATGGAGCATTTTTGTGTACATGCACACACAGGCTAGTAAGAGAAGAACATAATGCACTTACGAATGCTCCAAAAGTTAGAGCGCGGCTCGGGTACAGGTTTATTATACCATGGGTACAGGGATCAAAATTGGACACCACCTCTGAGTTTAAATAATGATTTGTGCAGTGATCGATGGCTACTTATTTTTGGTAATTCATAAGTAGCAGTAAAATGACATACAAGAAAGGCGATTAAATGTTACAATGTAAGTTACAATACATGCGTAAACTCTGTAGGATTCTTTTAGGGAAAAGG